AAAATGGCTATGAAAAAAAAAAATAAAAGCCAAAAATGGCTTAGTAAAAAAAAAGTGAAAAATTCGAAAATAGCTATGGAAAAAAAAAAAAAAAAACAAAGATGTCTTTACCTTGAAAAGCTTTGTAAAAGTTCTCAAATCCAAATTTGAGTAAGCAAAGGGTTCTAAACCTAAAATTTTTTTTTTCTAACCTTGATCCTAACTTTACATTACAAGTCAATAAAAACTTATTGATCTTAAATCAAGTATATAAGCCTACATTAGTGGAAAAGGAATGAGAAAAGTAAACTTATGAAGTATGCTTTATCTTTGATTCAATATGTGATGGCATATTTTATATACTTTTTACTTAAATTACATACATAGATTAAAGACAGATTGATTACACATATATGAAAAATGCATGAAAATGAAATCTTACTTATGATTAAATTTTATGTTTAACTATGTTCACAACTATCTTGACATTATACTATAGTGCATGATTGATAACTTGTGACATGTTAATTATGAACGCATCTTTGTGATTGTTGGCAATAATAACTTGAGAATTTGTTTAAGAACAAGCAAAAAACTAAGTGTGGGGTGTTATGACCTTATAATTTATTGTTATTTACATAACATTTGAGACTTTAAATTTTAAAAATTTTCATGAATTTTGTTTAATAACGGTGTAAATTAGTGATTTTCAGGTTTGCATGAAAAAATTAATTACTTTGAATGTAAATGCTAAAATCCATGCAAAACATACAAATGTGACAAGATGAGGCCATGCATGCAAAGATAAGTGATCCATGCAAATGTGGTAATCATGTCCAGCCTAGCATAAACCAAGAAACCCATAGTATCCAAATGATATTTGGCCAAAGCTAAAATGGAATGCAAGATTGGTTTTTGTAAATTCTAAAGAATCCCATGACTAGTGCAAAATCAAGGAGATATAGTCTTTAAATGTTGATTTACTAAATCCCATTTTGCTCATTTAGATCCCAACAACATGTATAAAAAAATTTAGATCAATCAAATTGTTCTTTCATAACACAATTTAAGTATTTGATTAAGATCTTGTTCAAAATCTAAGAACTTAGTTTTGTAGCAAAAATAATAGAAACAAAGTAAGTCACATTTAAATAAAGAAAATGAAAACTCAAAACAACAAAACAAAAAATGAAAAGGAAAAGCAATGACCTAAGAATTCATTCTACATGAGATGTGTGTTTTCTCTTTCATCTTAAACACTTAAGAAGACAGCCTGCAGATGCGATAAAACTCATACTTTTCCAACTAAAACCTTCTTCTTTTTATTTGATCAAAACAAAAAAAAGGCAAAGGAATATACTGGGAAAATGAGGAAGAGTGTGTGTAAATATGGGTGATTAGATGGTTTAATAGGAAAACCACTAAAACCACCCAAAGAAAAACTATTAAAGGTGATCATTGTTGCTCACCTAAAATTAACCAATAAGTCCCTCTGATATCTTCACCTGATCCATTAATTTTTTTTCTCATTCCTTCTATTCTATACAATACACTAATAAGAAGAAATGAAGGATTACCCAAAAAAGTTAATAGCTTTAATGAAGCTAAAAACAAGTACATACTCGATGAAATTGAAAACGGGTGTAGTTGGTAATGGTATATCATGTGTGGTAAGGTTTCTGGGTGTGCTCTTTCTTGAGAGACTTTTTTAAAAATTAAAAGTCTTGTATAAGATAGAGATAAGGAATCCTAAATTCTTTAATCCATCCAGTTTCCTATTTCATTTCATGAGATCATAATTTTTTTTTTCAATTTAGTTCATAAAATATGTTGAAAACGTTAAAAAAATGCCACATGTAAATTCAACCTCTCATTCATCATCATCATTGAAAACATCATCATTGAAAATAAGGAATTTATAAAATTATAAAATTGTGTACTGTTTTTTTTTTGTTGTGTTTTTACTAGTAGTTTGTTATATACTTTAACTGATAGTTCGAAAGAAGGTAATGGTGTAAACCAATCGAATATGAATGAATTTTGTTATATACGTGATTTATTCGTTTAATTAACGAAGCTAAAATATTGTTTGTGATTGTTTGTTAAATTTAATAAAAAAACAAAAATCAAGCATGTTCATGAACTATTTATATACTTAAATGTAAACAAACAAAATATGAATGAGCTTTATTATGTTCGCAATATGTTCATTTAATTAACGAACCTTGTAATCTCAATAAATGAATAAAACAAGCCTATCCACAAATTGTAAAAATATGTATTTCATGTTTTTATGTCGACATAAATTATGACAAACTTCCATTAAAGCTCTTTAACTGAAGACTAGCAATAATAACTCTTTGCTTGATTTTCATTATTTTAACTTAACTACCTATTAATCATATTGATATTTTTTCATAAAAGAGGTTGTAGTTTAATAATAGGAAAAAAGGTTGTCACATGAATAGCGATTTAACCTCAAATTTATTAGATGTCTAAACTTTAAAATAATTGTACGAACTAATTTTGCTAAACTTCAGGTTTAATTATATTGATACTTTTGATTTTAATTTTTGAAACTTATTCCAGTAATTTCACTTGGGCTAAAAACATGTCAAGGATATAGGACCAATACCGAAAATTGTCCTGGGTTCCCAATTCATGGCTCCTAAAATTTAAAAAAAAAAAAAAGTTCGTACAAATAAATTGCCTATTGCTTTGCTCTTTATTTATAATTAGTTTATAACCCATGAGATGTACGGGTTAATGTTTATATATATATATATATATATATATTATTATACACACAAATAGTTTTTTTAATAAAAAAATATAAATTTTACATATACATATATCTATGTGACATTTAAGAAAATAAAACTTTTAAAATATTCAATGAGCAATATTGTTAAAGAAAATAAAGTGAATATATCTTATAGAAAATTCTGAATTAACTCAAGATTACTTTATTAATTTTGCATTGTTTATATTTATTCCAATTTACAAGTTAATATTCTTTTAAAAAAATAAACTTATATGTTAGATTTATAAAAATAACTCACTTTCATGTAATTATTAACCCAAATGAATATATAAATGAAAATTCAATTACCAAAATTCAAATACACAAAAGGATTTTGCAACCAATATAAATATTTGTCTACAAAATCAATTGTCAAAAAGATATAGTATAATAATTTGAAAACTATATATAAGTATTAAAATTTTCATTGATTTCATTTCCATTACTTGCTTTTATTATGGGAGTGTTTGACAAAATATTAAATGCGTAATTACTACTAATTTGAATATTTTCAATATAATTAGTTCTAATTTTGTTAATAGTCAATTTTTATTATTTTTAACTAATTAAATACAAAATTATTTTTTGTTATTTATATTAAATTACTCCAAGTTAAAATTCATATAAAAGATAATAAAACTTTAATTCTCATCATCAACAGCAAATTCTTTTTTTTTTTCATAATAGCAAATTTTTCGTTGTAAATGCAAATTTGTATGTTACAAAAATAATGTTAAAAATAGTTTATGTCAAGAATAGTTGGTTCTGGTTTTTAAAATCTCTTTCAAATACTAATGAATAATGCCAATTTAGATAATAAAAATTTTATCTCATAATGTTTTTAAATATAATAATAAATACAATAATTAATAAAAAAGATAAATATAAAATCTTCTCTTTCTCGCTTTCTTTTTGGTTATGAAGATATTTATATATAAATAATGCATACTTAAAAATGATAAACAAAAAAAAAATTAGATATACATTTGTACAAATTTTTTTATGAGTTAAAACGTGGTCTTATGGAATTAAAGGACATTATATAAAAGTATTTCGCATCGAAATAGTATTTCATCTATAATAATGCTATAGCTTAATTACAAAAATTACAAAATAAAATAAAATATAAAAATATACAACTAAATATGCATATGTATATATTTTTTATTTGAAAAAAAAAACTACCCACTTTAAAAAAAAATGCACACTTTATAAAAATATTATTCTTTTTCAAAATACAACTTTTCTTATATATGGGATATAATAGATATTATTTATAAACATTTATTCATAAAAAAAAAAATTAGAAAAGGAGATAATAAAGTTTAAAAAATAAAATCATTGACAATACCACTAATATAGAGATGTTAATAACAAAACAAGCTTCCTAAGTACTAAAATAAGTTTATGAAAAAGTAAGATATGCTAATAAACATTCAAAAAAAATTGTATAGTATCCAAAGGAATATAAATAATCTAACAATTTGATAAATCAAAATAATGTAAAAAATAACAATATAAAATATATAAAACCAAGGAAATATACTATAAAATATACTACAAACGGATAAATTAAGGTAGCACAAAATTAAATTGTATTAAAAAAATGAAAGAAAAATGTTTTAACACCCATTGGTTATTGCATAAAAAATACAATAAATAAAAAGTTAGCCGATTAAGTTTAAAATCCATGTCTACAATCACCTTTATAGGATGGTGTTTATAGCCAACATAAATTATTTATGGCAAAGGAAAAATCCCTATGATTTTAAAATTTGACTAATTTTGCAAAGCAAAAAAGGAAATAAATACTTGCCTTCATTATCAAATTCCTTTCACATAAAATTTACATATTACCATATATATATATATATATGGTGTAAATATTAGTTATTTAGAAGTAATAATTGCAATTAATTTTTTAAAATTATTTGTTAAATTAAGAATGTATATTTGTTAGATGCAAGACACGTGATAATTGTTTAAAATTATCCACATATGAAAATAATAGAAATTCTACATTAGACTTATTTTCTTTTTTACCAAAAGTTTTGATTTTTATATATTTATAGAAGATTTTTATTACATTGGGTTGAGTTTTTATTTCTTTTTTTTTTCTTTAATGATAATAAAAGGAATGAAAATTAAAATATAAGAGCTCAAAGCCTGGATATAGCTGTGGGCTAATTATCTTGATAATTAAATGCATTGGCCGCAAAAGGCTCAATGGCCCAATACCCAAATCCTATGGGCTTAAATCAAAGTTATATTAGGCAATTTACACCAATTTTTTTTCAAGCTTTTCATCAAACAAGTAGCGAACTCTAAAATGAAACATGAAGGCTAGAAATAAGGCAGCCAAAAACAACATTGTTGACGGTTCCGTTCCTCAGCAGCAAGAGTAAGTCTGCCTTTGTTTCATTGGATTTTATGCAAATTTTGGGTCTTTGATTTAATTTCTTTATTTTTTATCTTGGCAGTTGTTATGAAGGGGAGCGTCTTGTTCACGTGCTTAAATCAATCCAAAGGTAAACGATTCGAACACATTATCAATAATTAAACAATACCCTTTTTTGGTATTCAAATTCTTGTTCTTTTTCAGAGGTAATAGTTGAAGTTATTGCAATGAACAGAGGGGTAGAGTCAGCAAGAGCATTGGCTGAAAACTCCTTGCCTGAAAAAGTATGGCTTAAGGTTTGATCTCTTGTTCAATGCTTTATTGATTTTCTTTGATGATCCTTGTGGTTTTATTATTATCTGATTGTTATATTGTATTTGGTGCATCGTTATTAGCAACAATTTGCCATTGGTGTTAATGATGTGACTCGTGTACTTGAACGGATGGCACCCGGTGTTGAGAATGGAAGCTCTGCTCAATCTCCTTGTGTTAGGCTTCAGGTTGGCTTCCCTGTTTCTAGATTTAAATTTTGAGTGATCTGTCATGCCTTTATAACAATCTATACTTAGTTGTTTATTGCAATATGTTTGTTATACTAAGGGCTAGTTTTGATTCCACCGCAACCTTTTTTTGGGCCAACTGCACCGCACGATGCTATGCAAAAGCACCCGGCGGTGCAGTTGGCTGGGGGAAAGGATTCAGTGAACATCTAGATCCTAGAGCAGTCGACTGCCTTAGCGTAAAAATGAAAATGAAGACATTTTGCAATTGTGACAATCAATTGGCTTTAGTGAGGCAACCGATTGTTATACTCAATCTTCCCATCATTTTGCGATTATATTCAATTACATATTTTCATCATTGATTTTAATCTTACTGCTTGCATATTAAACTTCATGTAATCTCATTACCACCGCTGTTTTGAATCTCGCCATCCATTCATGTGGATCCTTAGCTGTCATGTTTTCACAAGCACTGCTTAAGGTTTGCTATATGTTTTTTGAGCTTGTAGGCTATTTTGTTAGCTGCTGATTGCAGTCCAAAGTGGCTAATAAAGCACCTGCCAACGTTGGCTTTGTCAAGGAAGGTACCATTGATGATTGTTAGAGATGATAAAAAGGGGTCCCTAAGATTGGGTGAGCTTGTAAAGCTAAAAACAGCAATTGCAATTGGAGTAAAGGTTAGGGGTTTCCGCTTTGCAGATTGTCTTATCCTGTTGTGGTTTTGATTGTGTGCTGAAATATTTGTCTTACAAAACATAGGCTCGAGGAAATGCTATCAATCAAATAATCCAGGAACTTCTTGATGGTGATGAAGTGAATCAAGGAGCATTGCTTGAAGTCCAATGAGATATGTTTTTGCCGCCATGTTCAATGACCTGCCAGTTATTTGTGGTCAGAATAGAAACGAACCGATGAATTTAGCCAGGAATTTGTTCTTTATATATATATATATATATATATATATATATATATATATATATATATATATATAAATAAAGAGGTTGTAATCTAGGAATAGAAGAATGAGTTACAAATGATTTGAACTTCAAATATGTTATATGCTATCTTTTAAAGATGATTGTATGAATCAACTGAATTAATTTTCGGATTCAAAATTTATTACATTGTGAAGTTGAAAATTTTTGGTTATTTTTGGCTATAACCAATGAGAGTAAGTTTTACGTTTAAATGTTTGAGGCCAGGCACGAGCCTTAATGGTAAATTTTGACCAGTTGGAAATGAGGACATCCATACTACAGTTTAACTATTTTGCCATTCTGCATGTTTTAATCACCAAAAAGAAATGACAGATGAGTGACATTTACTCATGTAAAAAAAATTAATTCATGTATTTATGTTATAAAAATATTAATAATTCATAAATTCATATCATATTTTATATAAAAATTTTGTATTACAACTAATATTAACAAAAAAAAAATACGAAATATATATTTTTTATTCTTATTAAACTTAACATATTATTTTTACTAAAATTTTAAATCATATTATTTTAATATTTTTTGATATCATTTACGTGTCATTGTAATTCGTGAAATTCTCCTTCAACTGCTTCAATTGAAGAACAATCCACTAATGAACCGTATCAAGAAACAATGACAGAGAAATAAAAGTCAAAGCCATCACCAAATGAATCCAAACAAGAAACTTATAACCTTCAAGTACCATCACCATATTCTAATATTGTAATATCACAAATAGAGCAGTAAATCAATTGTAGCAAAGCAAAAGTTCTACAATACACCCTTGGCGAAAATTAAAAATAAAAAATTCCCACAAGTTTTAATGTCCCTTTGGTAACATAGTGAGAGAGACTTTCACCGCGCCGTAATTGCATTTTTATGACTTAACCTCCAAGGGTCCAATGAATAAAATGACATGCGCGGCGTGGTGGGAGTTCTCCCACCATGCATCGAAGTGAACTCTTAACTATATGATAATAAAACCAAGTACTCATCAGTTTCATATAACAATTTCAAATTGAAAATTATCCTGTTAAGAATGGTCCACACACCAGCACAGCTGACATCAGACAGAGGACAATGTGAAGGAGATGGTCATAAAAAGAGAATAATCTTAGTAACTTCTACCCCAATAGGTCCATTTCTTTGCAGGCTTCCCAGAGGCAAAGCATTTAGTACCTGCATAATGTCATTTTTTATGAGAAGAGAATTCTATAGAAGACGTATAATCTCCTCTTTTCTTTTTGTGGATGTAAGGTTACAAATAATCAAACAGCATTTACACATGAATTCCCTCAATACTAATGTAAGGAGAAATTTAAAAAATTCTAAATGAGAAAAGACTGTGTGTTACAAAAGGATTAAGTAAGCTTTTCTTTTTTGATACAAAAGTGGTTGCAGCCTGGAGAAGAGAGGGGGATGCAGGTGCTGAGATTGGAACCCTAGATTTATTAGATACCACTTCTTAAGAGTGATTACATGAACCAACTGAGCTAAGCTTCAGGTTCAATCACAATGACACATTTGCAATCACATCTTACCTGAACCAAGCTCACTGGGTGCCGGATTTTTACTTAATCCTTCAAATTAATTGAACTACTGATTAATATTAATTTATTATCTCTTATTCCTCTTAATGTAGTATGATTTCTCTAAATTTCCAATAATTTTTTGTAGTTTGTCACAGATTAAGATTCTTGGCAGTTGCTGATTAGTGCATGCTGGTGTAGTAACAGTTTATTAAAAAACAAAATACTACTAGTATTATGAGGGAGGGAAAGTATCCTACTGTTTAAAATAAATGCCTGCTTTACCTTCTGGGAGTTCAGGCTGTTCAAACGGGGTACAAAGAGACTTAGCTGCTCCCATATCACCCTTCGTTCGTGCTTTCACGTCTTTCTCCACATCCTACATTTATACAAAACATTAAAAGTCTTTTATGAAACTGAGCAAGACCATTCTATCCAACAAATGCCTGGAGAGGTAATCTTGGAAATTAATGACGTTCTAAATATGATCCAACTCATTTTTATAACCAACAAAACACTTCAGCCTAATGATTCAATGCAAAGACTAAGTGTAGCAGATAAGCACTAAAGGAACACTGATTAAATACTAAATAGTCATGGTCCCTGTAAAGAATAAGGATTCTGCAAATTCAAGTCATACCTCCTCATCACACCAAGGAGCTAAGATCAGTTTCTTTTGCCCAAGAGCTGTTACAAACTCTTCCCAAGTTTTTAAAACTTCAACACAGGCATCTCGTTTTTGTTTTGCAACGTCAAACAGGTTCTGTTGAATCTTATCCAACATTCCTTTTACTTGTTCAACCAAAAAGACTCTTGAGATATCAGTTTTTGTTCCATTGTCACGGCGAACTGCACGTACCTGTCAAATAAAGCACTTTTCTGGTTTTAACTGTATAAGTACAATAGCAAATTAATAAATAAAAGAATAGAAGGAAAGCAGCATCCAAAAAAAAGGGGGGGTTCACCTGATTATTTGCTAAGTCTCTAGGTCCTATTTCAATCCTTAGGGGAACACCTTTCATTTCCCAGTTTGAATACTTCCAACCAGGTGAGTAGTTATCTCTAAGATCAGCTTCAGCACGAATGCCAGCATCTGAGAGGGTTGCCACAGTGGCAACACAAGCATCAAAAATACCTTGAGTATCTGCATCTTTGTAAGGCACAGGAATCACAATAAGTTGCAAAGCTGCTACTTTTGGAGGCAGCACTAAACCTTTGTCATCCCCATGAACCATAACCATTACCCCAATCTGAGAAAATTTGAAAAACAGTAGAAAACATAAGCAGAGTAGCAGGAATAAGGAGAAAAGAATAGAAAGGGAATTATATGGTAGTTAAGGATTCCAACCCCATGTAATCACCCAAAACCACAAAACATAAATGGTAGGGATAGCATGACAAAGGACTTGAAATGATAAATGCTAAGAATGTTCTAAGTAAAGAGACAAAAAGTTTACCGTTCGAGTACTATACGCCCAGGAATTCTGCCAGACCATACCCTTCTCTCCCCTTTTCATTTTCAAAGTTATATCTCAAACATTTTTGCAAAGTTTGGCCCAGACAATGGGAGGTTGCACCTGAATACCACGCCAGTGTTTGGATATAAATGCCTATCATATTATGAACAGATTAAAAGTTCCTCAATTTATATTAAAGCACATTGAGCAAGCAGACAATTTAAGGTAGTTGTTCATGCCAATAAGTAGAGATTGTTATTACATGTATATATTGCATAATAGTTTATACCATACCTCGACCAACTAGTTGTTGTAAAGTGCACCAGCCAATACGTCGTCTAGTTCACTCTTCGCGTGCCTTTTTGTGAACAGGACATAGCCAAGAATTCTTCAAGTATACAATCGAGGTACAGTTCCAATTTTGTGAAGAACCTTGAAATATAACAAAATTTTAAGGACATACGTAAAGAGACCCGGCTGACATCCCTACCATTGTTATTGGCTACTAAGTCCCTTTTTTGCCTGTTTAGTTAACAGCATGAGATATCGCAAAGGATGTGAAAATGAGAAGCCAGTACAACTATTGCAAGAGTGATTAGAAGTAGGAACTAAAGTCTAAAATCTACCAAGCACAAAGTATTTCAACAATAAATACATATAACTCAGCATGTCATTTTTGCCACCTCAGTCCCCCTTCCATAATATATTCACCAACAAAACCATATTTAGACACACATAAAAGGTTCTAAGGATCTAGCACATCCTTCAATGATACTTCAAAAGGCAAGACAAGTGAAATCTGTAACAGCAATGAAATATGACTTTGACTTTTGACACAGCACAGAAACCAACAAAATATTGAAATTATTCAAAATAAGATCACATGGGAAATTTCTGAAATGCTTACTTAAATACTTCATTCGGCAATTCCGAGGCAAAATGCCATTTTAAACCAAAATTTAATTGTAGATAATATGAAAAAGAAAAGGATCAGCCATGCAAAATTTCTATTTACTTTAACCTTCCCTATTCCATTGTACACCAATAGAACAATGGGCAAACTTCAGCTCTCTAAGGTTGAAATGTTGATCAAAGGTAAAAATTTTAAGTCTATGCTACCTCTGTGTCTGCCTCTTCCTTTGTTGCAAAGGCAGTATGCCCTTCCTGCCATAGAAATTCACGACTCCTACAATTAAGAAGCAAGTTAGTGGTGACCAATCTATCATCAAATCATTTTAAATTAATTTTCTAACTTGGCATCAAAAGAATTGAGAAAATAATGTTCTCATCTGTAAACATTAATAACTAAGGATAAGAAAATTGAACCGAGATTAGAAAATTTTACGAAAATTAACATCTCATTACATGTATGGCATACCATATCCCATCCGGAAAAGGTGAGGGGGGAAAAGGATGCAGGATAACACCGGAAAAGCTAAAGTTGACCAATTTTAAGACAATTACCTGATAAATGGTGTGGGATTGCTAAATTCCCATCGAACGACATTGCACCACTGGTTAAGTTTCAAAGGCAAGTCACGGTGTCCTCTAATCCACTTAGAATAATAGGGATACATAACTGTCTCACTAGTGGGCGGATTGCAATTGGCACCTCTAACTCAGACTCCCCAGATTTGGTCACCCAAGCAACCTGATTAAACCAGGATCCCAAAGCCATTCACATGTCATTTTTTCATTAGATCACATAAAATTTCTAGTAAAAGAATGCATAAAACTTAAGTGTTGCATAAGTCCAGTGCTAAAAAGTATAAAAACATCGAAATATTGCCATTTTTTCAGCATATTCATGAAAGTATCTTGCTCAAATGAGGAAGAACTTGCCAAATTTAGCCCTAGATAAAAACTTTCTCCAATTTGAGCCCTAGATAGAAA